GACTCTGCTGGGTGAGAGTCCTCAAACATGTAACACGGCTGTCTCATTTGGTCATGTGCAAGTGAATGCGTAATTTTTATACTAAAGTTGCTAGGATTCAGAATTTCCAGGAAAAGTTTAGGGTATAGGTATTCTGTCTGGAGGACCTACTATTTCAATTAGAAATACATTTAAAAAATTAGTAATTTCTCAGGATGCATGAAATTGATTTCAAGAAGAGTTGTAGTATATATTTGAAATTACATAATTACTTCTAGATACAAATGAGAACCACTACATCAAAGTACATGATTTGAGAAGGCAATTTTACCATATATGCTTAAAATTATGAACACTATTTGCAAATAGTAAATATGTTAAAAGTTCTTAGGAAGTTTGTTCTCTATCTCATATCTTAATAGACTTTAGTAACTTTTTCTTCAGAGGTAAATTTCAACCCCAGACAGATTGGAATGAATTAGTAGATTCTAAACTAATTGCATTTCTGTTTTTTCAACGAAGAGTGCCTTTAGTTACTGTCTTATACTATGACTTCACATTCCACTGCTTTTAAAACATCTTTTTTCTTTTATGGCCATATTTTAATACTAAAAATAAGAGCGTATGGCTCTGGTTTTCTTCCTGGTGAGTGGTAAACAAACTATCCTCTTATGACAACTTCTTTTACCAAATCTATTTAAGAAGTAGAATCACAGAATTTCTAGTGATTTCCAAACAAGTGCACAGGTGATAAGTCTTTGTTTTCACCTTTAAGTTGGTTCTAAGATTTTTACTATTACTTTTAAAATCACATGTGATTTTTACCTACAAGTGCTTTTTCTCTACGACCTGCCATTGACAAGGTAACTATTCAATAATTTAAAAGTAAAACCATCTAATGCTTTATTAAGCAAACAAGTTTAACTTTTTAGATGCTGGGCCTCAACATTCCTTTGCTATTCAAATCAAAATGCAGTAGCAGTTTCACACTTATTACCATGGATTTCAAAGAATAATCTCCATTTCTAAAACCTATTTATAAAGAAAGATAAAGAGAACATAATTAAAGCTAGAGTCTTTCCATATCACTGTCTTTTGGGGTCCAGGTAGCAGAACCATTATGTAGGTAAAAAAGTATTATGGCCAGGTTCCAGTGTCCGTGACTCAAACTGAAGACAAAAAGTTGAACTGTGAATACATTAGCTTAACTTATAAAAAGGATGCTACCTAGAGGGTCTCCATTTTTAGAGGTCAAAAGCAAATGAGCTAAAAGAACAGCAGGATGAATGCAGGTTATTTATAAAATACTACTTTCCAACAGATATCAAGAGGTTAAGGACACACATTGCTCAAACCTCCTAGAGCACAAGATAGGATGCTTATTTGTTTGGGCTGGTTCTTGATGGAAAGTGTTCTGGAAGGCAGGAAGACATCTTTCAGTACTTAAGTCTATCTTTTTCCTGAGGGGCTCAAACCTTTGAATTGTATCTCATTTATTACTCTTGGTGTGAATCAAATCCAGTTCCAGAGGTTACAGACTCTCCATCTTTCACAATCTCACTCCCATTGTAGAATCATCACTCACTCTGTTCCCACTCCACATCAAAATTTAGCCAAGATTACTTGATAGGGAGTTTCTTTTCTTACTACATCTTCAGATGTGCAATATGCGGAGCCATTCAGAGCAGATTTACTACTATGACATGCAATGAAATGTAATTTAAGAAACAACACCGTAATACAAGGAATATAACAGCAAGGGTTTTTTGTTTTTTTGTTTTTGATGTTTGGTTAAGCACTGTGGGGCAAATGACTGAGTTCTAGCTATCTTCCTATTTTCTTTTGATAATAAAATCAAAATGATTAAAATTTCACTTAAACTACAAATAAATCTATTTGTAAAAATGAGAGGAAATCTTTTCTTTCAAAGTATGCTAGAAAGATGGGATGTTAAGCATTCAGTTATATACATTTTTTGGACATTTCCACATCTGTAATGATTGACATCTGGCAAAGCCTTCTTTCAATTTCTAACACCAGTAGAAAAGCTGTTACAAAAATATATAAAGGTAAGGTTCTCCTAAAAACAACTTACATTTAATATTTTGATTTAGTGATCAAGCCATGATTTTTTCAATCCTAATTTTAATTTGTATCTGTTCACTTTCTTTAATGGAGGTTTGGGCTTCCAAGGCATCTTCTTCAGTCTTTGCACAATTAAAGTGAGCTATCTGCTTCTGTTTAGCAGAGGTGGATGAGCAACATCCCTGCATTTGACTGGTTGGCTTTTAAGGCATTACTTCTCTGGAAAGGCACTGTCCCAAATCACATTGCTAAAGGTGTGGACTTAACTAGGATTAAATATTTAAATGGAAGGTTCTACCATCAGAGAACATAAACTTCAGGACTCCTATATATTACATATTCTACACCTCATATTGACTTAATGTGTTTATGATGGAGAGCTCTGTTTTGGAACAACTTTAAATACCATACCCAGAAAGAACAACTGGCTCTGGCAAACAGGTAATTTGGGGTCCAATATGTTTTATGAAGGGAGACCCAAACAAAAGTGGAATTATCTTCTGGAGGGCGGGCATGTCGTACGGTACAGGGTTCCCCCACTGTGTGTGTTCTAGGAACCGATCTGTATCAGTGTACTAGCTGGCATTGTTGTGAGAGGCTGCTTTCAGCTTCAGTGAATTTATTTTTTGAAGACTCTTTCAAAGCGTTTGTCCACTTCATGATGGGTGATTTATGATCGATTGCACCTGCCCACACTATGCTGTGTGTTCAGCAGTTTTTGACAAAAAAACCAGCATGACCCTGGTGCCCCACCCTCCCTATTCACCCAATCTCATCCCAATTGACTATTTTTGTTGTGGTTTTCCTGAATAAAAAAAGTCCTCACACAGAAATGTTTTGCCAGTATGGAAGGGGTGAAACAAAAAGCAGCAGAAGCACTAAAAGGCATCAAAATCGATGAGTTCAAAAAAGGTCTCGATAGGTGTACTGCATCAAATGGAGAGTACTTTGAAGGTGACAGAAGTTTAAACATGTAAGGATACACAATTTTTTATAAGTAAATTCTGGTACTTTGAATTCCCCCCTCATATAACAAAGCCAATATAATTTTAAAAAGAATAAACTCCAACTACACACATTGACTTCAGTAAAATTGAGGAAAACATGTCAGCCAAGTCAAGTGAAATAAACTATACTATATATGTCCATATAAACTAAAACAATGACTTTACATTTTTATTCCCCATTTCCTAGCTACTCAAAGAATAAACATGATCACTTTCAAATTGCACTTATTTTATCTGAATTTATTGAGTAAAATGCTTAGTTGCAGGATTTTCCTCCTGTAATTCATCGGGTTACAATATTAAAGTTACTACAACCTTCCTCCCCAGTGTAAGCATTCTGTATGTGCATTTTATTTACTGTCACTTTTTATTTCCTCCTAAACTTTGTAAGTCTAAGAATGAAACTGTACTGGTGTTATGTAGCATTTCAAATTTGCAACATACATATTGATTTATCTCTCCCTTGAACCCACTTCCTTGAACATACATGTAGCCAAACAGAAAAACTACCTTAAAGTGTATGGGGAGTGTAGACGTGTAGAAATAGAAGCATTGAAAAACAGCGCATGGAAGGGTCAAGATATATCTGTCCTTGTTGACAACAATCCCCATGATCTATTAACAGCCATAGGCAGACAACTTAGTACAGGACAAGATCCTAAGCCTGCGCGCAGAAGTTGGTAACCCACTAAGAATTAAGGCTTTAAAGTCTCTTACAATTAATGTGATTCGAAAAACCCAAAGCACGCAAACCAAAAAACCTGATAAAGTGCTCCAAGTAGAGCCTCTATGGCAACCCAAATTGAACCATATGACTCAGGTGGACGATTAGACCAAACTGCGCCGTTTTCTTTCACTAGGTCTATAAAGCCCATAAATTGTTCGGTCCAGAAAACCAGGAGTTAGTAGCACCTTCCTTTTCCACTTTTAAATATTCTATACATCCAGCCAACAGTTCATAATCCACGATCATTCATTTATTGACTAAACAAGATACTGGGTGCCTCTTGGTGATCACTCCTCCTTAAATGACAGCAATTTGAAATGCCCCTCCGAGAAAAGGGTGGAGACCGCGAGGTAAGTCATCCAAAGGTGGACGCAACTTGCTTTTATTTACTTATTTATTCGAGGGACGCCGGTGGCTGCGGCTGGACTAGGACGAGGCTGGAAGCGAAGGCAAGCGCGGGTTGTGAGCCACAGCCAGAGTTGGGATATCACAAAGATGATGGGGATCAGCAGCCAAGCACCACCAACTCCGCCACTCGGAACCCCGAAACGAGCAGCCCTCCTCCCTCCCCGCCAAACATACAACACCCTATGTCCCTCCTCCTCTTCCCAGGCCTTTTATCCGCCCGCCCGGCTGCCGGCTGCTCCCAGACCTCGCGCTGCCCGCCTCCTTCCGCAACCCGGTGGGGCGGCGCGCGCAGGCCTAGGGCAGCCCCGCGACGCCCGCGGTTCGGCTAGGACCCCGACCCGACCCCTCCGGCCGCGCCCCTCCCCCTCGTATAACGCACCTGCGGCCCCGCCCCCGGCCAAACGCTGAGGCGGCGGCGGGCTGGCGAGGCCGGGCGGCTCGGCTCTCGAGGCAGTCACCTTCCCTTCCCCCGCCATTCCTCCCACCCCCCTCGCTCAGCCGCGGAGCTGCAGCCGCGTTCCTCAGCCGCCCAGAAATCTAAAGAGGTCCGTCTCCGGCACCACAACCAAATGGCTGAGCCTCTCTGGCCGGCTGCGTAGCCCGCCCATTGGCCCCTTCCCCCCCCGCCGCTGCCACCACTGGCTGTTCCTCGGAGATCCTCGGCATCGATTGGCTGAGGCTGCTGCCGCTCATCCGCGCGACCGCAAATCCCGCCTCCACCGTGATCAGGTTTGTGTGCGCCGCGGGTGCTGGGGGCTCGAGAACCGAGCGGAGCTGGTTGAGCCTTCAAAGTCCTAAAACGCGCGGCCGTGGGTTCGGGGTTTATTGATTGAATTCCGCCGGCGCGGGAGCCTCTGCAGAGAGAGCGCGAGAGATGGAAATGGACAAACGGATTCATTTAGAGCTGCGGAACAGGACGCCCTCTGATGTGAGCATTTGCCAAAAATATCTCTGTCGGTCCATTCTCCTACTTTGTGTGTGTGTGTGTGTCTGTGTGTGTGTGTGCGTTGCGGGGTGAGGCACTTTTTTTTTGAGGGGGGGAGCCCGGGAGGTATGGGTTTGGGGGTCGGACTGCAAATGAATTACAAGGTTGGGGGTTGCAATGCCATCCGAGCATGTTCCGGTTGCCGCCGCCGCTGCCCTTGGTGTGTGACTACCTGTGCGTGTGCTCCCGCGTGTGCGAGTGTGGGTGCGAGTGTGCGTGCAAGTGTGCACCCATCGGGGGCCAGCGGGCGCACGCGTTTGGGTCGGAGAGAATGAGGCGAAATGACCCTCTGAGCTCGCTGCTCCCATGACTCCGTCTGGGGGAAAAGATTAACGAGGGAGGAGGAGGAGAGGGGCTGCCTCCTGGATTTAACAACAACAAAAAAGGGGGTTTATATTTTATAAATGAATACCCCCCTCTAGCCCCCTCCCGCGCCTTCCCCCTCCCTTTCTCTCTCCCTCGCGCACACACAATAAGTTTTGGGCTCCGCGAGTCCGGTTTAGTTTCTGATAAATGTGGGCCGAGGCCCCCAGGGAGAGCGCGTGGGGAAGGGGCTGCAGTGGAGTTGGGAATGGCTCGAGTTTAAAGTGCGTCTTCATTTCTTTGCAGTGATGAGGCGAGAGACGGGGGAGCCATATTTGTAACTTTGTAGTGTTCGTGAACGCGCCCTTTCTCTCCCTCCCTCCCTTTCTCTGCCTCCTTCCTCTCCTCCTCTTTCTCCCTCACTCTTTCCACCCCACCTTCGGGCCAGATGCTGATATTTCTTCCTTTCCTTAGGAAGGCAGGAAAAATTGGAAGCAGAGAGGGAGGGATTTTCGAACGTGCGAAGGCACCGATAATCCCCGCGCCTCCCCACCTCGAGCGATCGCTATTGCAAGTTACCCAAAGGCTACGTCCCGGTCCCCCCCTCGCCCCTGTTCTTTCCGGATGCCAGCCTTCGAACCCTGGTGTCCCCGGCCTGTCTTTCTCTAGGATGGGCTCCTGGGCAGCCACCTGGCTAATAAATGGGCACAGGAAACTTTGTCAGGACGCGAGCTGCCCGGAGCTGGTGCCCGTGGTGGGTATTGGCTGGGTCCAGATTGATGCGGGCATAGCGAACACGCAGTTTTGGGATGGGAGTTTGCCTTCCCGTCGCCGTTATTGATTGGGCAGCGGTGGGAGTAGGGCCGAAGGAAACTTACGCGGCTGGGAACTGGGAGGCTCAGCGAAAGCCCACCTCAAGGAGGGGGAAGGCCAGGGTGGGTACTCGAACGCTTGTTTTTTGTTTTTGTTTTGTTTTGTTTTTCTGGCTCCCTCTCGCTTTCAGTGTTTTATGCGAGTTGGCGGCTCTGCGGAGAACCTAGGTCTGAGGCAGAGACGCTTTCCGACTCCTTTAGTCGCCCCTGGGGGGGGACCAGGAGAACACCAGGGGGGAGGGCCTTCGCTTCAGCCTTGGTGGCCAGGGTTCCAGAGTTGGGGCAACACGGTGTGACCTGTCGCCCCTCCAGCTGGTTAAAACCCGAATCCCTGGCTAAGACAGGCCTTGCTTCCTCTTTTCTCTAGTTCCTCCCCCAAACCTGAGTGAGACTTTTGAAAACAAGATCCTTTTTGTGCCTCTCCCCATCATAACGCAGCTGTGGACTGTAGACGTGCAGTGCCTGATGGCGCGCAGGGCGGGGAGGGGGTGGCGGAGGGCGGGGAGGGGTGCCCGGCGGAAAAGGCAAGAGTTGCCTCGAACAATTTGCCGGCGGCTTGCTTTTTTCTGGTCGGTTTCATCCTGGCTCGAACCCCCAGCCGGAGGATTTGGGGGCTGGGTGTGGTGGTGGGGGAGGGGGCCCGAGCCTCGGTCTTTGCGCGTACTTTCCGGAAGCCCCCTGTGCGGAGGGGGAATGGCGCCGAGCAGGGGGCCTGGGTCTCCGCGGGTGGCTGTGTGTGGGGACTCGGATCACCTGGCCAACCCCATCCACGCTGCTGGCCAACTGGGAGCGAGCTAGAAAGCGGGTCGAACCGGCTCTTTAAACTTCCCCGAGTGTGTGTTGGGGGGAGGGGAGCGCGCCGAGCTGGGAGTGATTTCTCACGCTTCGCCCCCTCGCCACCCAGGCTCTCTGCCCACGCGCTTGCCCCGGGCCTCAAGGCCAGGTGGGGTTCAAAGTGGAGGGGGCACTTTCTGCACGTTTGGGGAGGAGGGGAGAAAGCTAGCTAATGAGGGACAAAAGAGGTGGGGGAGGAGGAACTATTTTTTTTAACGTTCTTAAGACAAATTGCGCCCAGACGGAGCCCCCTCCTCCCGTGCCCACCGCGCGGCCCTCAGGGGCCCCCACACACCCACCTTCCGAGCCTTTCCCAACTCTGGTCCGGAGGCTGGTGGCCACGCCGCGACGCTGAAATAGGACGAGCAGCCATGTTTCCCGGGTCTCGCGCGGCCCGCCCCGCCCCTCCCCCATAGTGCGGGCCGGCGCCGAGCGCGGGCCCAGAATGCGGGCCCTGGGCTCCCTGCAGGCTGTGGCTGGAGGGTGGCTGGGCCTGGTGCGGGCCGGCCGGGGCGTGGGTGCGTTGGTTGGCCCCGTGCGGGTCTTTGGGTGTCCGGAGCTGGTTTGGACCTCGAGGTGTTTTATTTATTATTTCTTTAACGACCAGGCCCACCCGAGGCCGAGCCCGAAGGGTGCCAAAGCGTTATTGGGGGGCAGGGGCAGCCGCCAGGGCCCTGCTTGCTTGTGGCACGACTGGCGGGCGCCAGGCTGCCATTTTGTCACCGCGGCTGTTGTCGCTTGGGGGTGGGGGGAGGCAGAGCCTTGCGCCATCACCCCGACGGGCCTGGACGTGGAAGCAGCAGGGGGAGCTGGCCCCGGGACCCTCAGATGTGGTTGGGGCCCCTGTGAGTGTTTCCTCCCCCTGCCAGCGGCCTGAGGCTTTGCTGGGGCGTAGCAATTGCTCTCGTACTGGGAGGGCGACGATCTTTCGTTCCAGCGCTTCCCCCTACCCCCGGTGGTGCTCCCTCCCCCATCTTCTCTTCAGTAATTCGCCCTTCCTCCTGCAGCCGTTTAGACGTAGTTAAATGTGGCCCTAAAGAACTGATCGCCCTGGTGTTTATTCACTCCTCGGAATTGATAGCAGGGTGGGGAAAGAAATTGAACAGGAGGTTTCTTTTTTGGGAGGGAACACGCACGCAACTCTACAGGCCCCCAACTGAAGCCAAGGACAGCAGCCGCTACCCGGGAGGGACGAGTTATGAAGTAGTTGGGGAAACGCCCTCAGGCTGGGCTCTACGGGGAAGGTAGGTCTTGCTCCGTGTTTCAGGTGGGTGTTGCAGCGCCCTGCAGGCTGCTAGGGGAGCCCCCCTTCGTTCTTCTCTGCCCTCCTCCTTTTATTTTTTCCAACGGGAAGGCAGCTACAGTAGCAAATGTAACCATAAACAGAAGAGAGAAGGGAATATGGTTTGCTTTTTAAAAAGTGATGTCTTTCTGCCGACTGCCTTTCTCTGGCTATTGACTGCAGAGGTAGACAAGGCGTCCTGTAGGTGGCATCTCTCTGGGACTTTTTGAAGGCGGTAGGATGCTGATTAAACACCTCACTGGTTAAACCGGTGTCTGCATAGAGACTAGCTTTCATAGCAGTGCTGGGCAAAGGCTGCCCAGTAAGCCAGATTTAACTTTGACCTTTGGAATACACCGCATGATGTTTTCCAGTCTGACTTACTGCCTAATTGAGTTCAAGTAGCCTGATATTAATTCCAGTTTATGCAAGCTAACCAGGAATTCACAGGCAGAAAATTGAACGTGAGCTCAGGGTAGTCATGGTCAGTTATGTTTTGCTACTGAAGTGTTGCTGCTGATGGTAGTTTTGAGTCTGGGGGCTGAGTCCACAGTGAATCTCGGTTCTGGAACCACACAGACCTGAGTTTGAATTCCCCCTGCCACAGAAAGGTAATAAGGTAAGTTAACCTGCCCCCATGACCTCAGGCAGGTCAGCCTAACCTACCTTTTTGAATCTTGGTTTCCTTACCTGGAAAACAGAAATAATAATTCTATTTAGTCAGTTAAGTGACAGAGCTGGCTTGATCTGGCCCTCAGGTGCTTAGTCTATGACAGTGTTACTCCCTGAGAGATACTGGGGTGCCATGGGGCACAACTCTGAGCTCCTCTTTGGGTTAGAATACTAATGGCTGCTAATAACAGCTAATGCAAACATTGTACCCATGCTGTGCTTGGCACAGTTCTTAGTGGATTGTGCATATCAATTAATTTAGTCCCCACAACAGCACTATGAGGTAGGTACTCTTATTATTCTTATGTGACACATGAGGAAATTGAAGACAGCTTATCGCAGGTGGTCTGTACTCAACCTCAACTCTCAGCTGCCTCTCTTGAAGCACCTTTTTTTGTAAAATACCTTAAGGAAGAGCTTTTTTGTTTCAGTGGTTTTGAAACTCACCTTATGAGTTAGTGAGTTTCCTGTCGTGGAAAGTATGAAGACTGGAGAGCCTCTTTGTTGAAGACATTGATGGTGTTGGTCAGGACCAGCAGCTTGGTGGATGACCATTTCAAGGGGGAGCCATGCACTTTCTGGGTTTGGTTTACCGTGTCATCTCTGGTTAGGCTGAAATGAATCTAGCCTTTTAGGTGTTAAGGGATGTGTTTGGGGTAGTGAGAAGACAAACAGGAACTTGTTATGCAGTGGTTTGTATGGGACCTTGGATGTAATACATTTTTCATTTTTACTAGTCTCTATCTACAGCCAAAAAACAACAGAATTAGCATGTTCTCAGTGTCTCTAGGACTGGTATACTAATAACACCTCTCGGTTCCTCTCAGTCCTCCCAACAACTCCTTCCGGGTAGGCCAAGCACTGTGACATCCTGTCCTCCCTGTTGTGAGAGTGAGGCACTGAGGATGGGAGCTGCACAGTTGGACAGCAGGCGTGCAGCAGAGTTGGGCTGTCCTCCCGATGTAAAACCAGAGGCCCTT